ACAACCGACAGCAGCAGCCGAAGTCAGTACCTCCGTTTTGTCACATCTGCAAAACATCAGGACACCCCCGCACGCATTGCCCGTCTCGTCAGACAACACCACAGCGACAACTGCGGCCTTCAAGCTCACAAGTTGCTTCAACGCAAGCAAGTCCGACAACAACGATTCAAGCTTCAACGACTTCAACTGGACAACCTGCACAAGGAGCAAGAAACATAGTCAACTGCATGGTAAAGATAAGCGACTCTTGCACAACAGAGTCACCACCCCATTACTCACCAGAAGAGGAGCTCGACAACAGGACGCCTCGCCGCGAATCACTCCACCCGAATCCGACTTACGCCGCCATCGCTCAAAGTGAACCGTCCGGCCAAGACACTTGGTTCTTGGATAGTTGCTGCGGGCAACACATGTGCTCGTCCGGGCGCTTCGTACAACGCGAACATCGACTCCAACGAGAAGTGATCATCACGGTCGCCAACAATCAAAACATGCGCACACGACGACAAGGAGTGGTACAGCTTCAGTCAAGAGAAACAAATGTCATACTGCACATGTCTAAGGTACTCATTGCTGAAGGACTCGGTTACAACTTACTGAGTGTTAGCCAGCTGATGGCGAAGGGGATTCACCTGGAAGCCGACAGCACCACCCAGGAGTTCAAGCTATACCACGGGAAAGGCGGTCTCTACATCGGGAAGGCAGTGCTGAAGAACAACGTTTTCGTCCTCGACTTCGTTCCTGACCTGGGCACTGCAGACAGCGACGCCATCGTGAATTTTACTGATTGGACACACCCTCCTGATCTCGACCCCGACTTCAGCCCGGGAGGTTTCTGGTACTCCCACACTATCCCTGAAGCAGAACGAACAAGAGCGTTAGCGACGATTCAACAAACATCGGCAGCAGCAACAACATCGGCAAGAGCAACAACATCGGCAGCACCAACAACATCAGCAGCAGAGACAACATCAGCAGCAGCAGGAACAACGACACCGGTCACAGTCGACGAAGCACCACCAAAACCAGCGCAACAGCTGAATCCGACTCAACGTGAAGTCCACCGAAGCGCCAACTTCGTCGCCAGTTTTTACTCCAACTCCGACGCATACCAACGTTCACCCGGACACCGCGCCTCTGAAGAGATCTGGCACGCGCGCACAGGACATCCAAGCAACACGGTTTTAAATAACACGATAAGAGCAGGAGTTCTTGACAAAGACTCCCTACTTCTACCCGATGGCAGAGAACTCCAGAAGGCACGAGGGACTTGCCTTATATGTCCCGAAGCTGACTTACCTCATCGACCGTTCGCTCCACATCACAACCCGAGCGCTCCAGCGTACGCACCACTCGAAAAGGTCTACAGCGACATCCTCTACAATCGCGAACCAGGACAAGTTAACTACAACTACACCATCACCTTCATTGACGCCGCCACTCGATATGTCTGGCATCGTAACCTACCCAGCCGCGACATGGCACTCGCAGCATTCGCCGCCTGGCTACCGATAGCAGAGAGAGAGTCTGGAACGCAACTGAAAAGCTTCCAGTCAGACGGAGGTGGCGAGTACACCTCTCAGCGCTTCAAGCAGTTCCTGGCGGAAAGGGGGATCAAGCAACTCCTCTCCCTTCCCTACGCACATCAGCAGCAAGGTGTCGCAGAACGAATGAACAGGACTCTGCAGAACAGCATGCGCAAACTGTTACGTGGCATGCGGCTACCCAACCACCAGTGGCCAGCAGCAATGGACCATGCTGTCATGCTGCACAACTTGTTGTCGTCGTCGTCACTCCCGAACAACGCATCACCGCATCTGCTGTGGACAGGGAAGCAGGGCAGCACAAAAATGTTACGAGTCTTCGGGTGCATGGTACAGTACAGACCCCCAGAAGCACGAGCGGGAAGATTTTCACAACGGGCACAGTGGGGACTACACCTCGGCATCGAGAAAAATTACAACGCGTGGAGAATCTTCGACGTCCACACAAAAGAAACACTAGCAGCACGAGATGTGATCTTCTATGAACGCCTCACCCTTCAGACGTACCTCGCCAACTTGCACGAGAATCGGGACCTCACCAGTGGCTTTCGTGGTGACCGAGCCTTCGCGTCAGCAGCGGATGAAGCAGACTGGGATGAGCAGAACGTCGACAACGCATCGGAGGAAGCCGGACCTCTTCCGTACTGCTCCGTCAACGTGCCCATGGATGAGGATAACCCTCGCGACAGTAACAACGCCGAAGTCTTCTACCATCTCGCCGACAATGGTTACGTAACACCTGTGACAGTCAACACCAACGAAGCAGAAAGGGTAGGGCCTAATTTCATACCCGACCCAGAAGCGGGAGACGAAGCAGCTTATCCCGAGGATCCAGAATTCCCTCGATACTCACAGAGTGGGCTGCAAATCCTTGGTCTCGTCACCGCAGTCCATGGCGCCACCATTCCTAAGGAGCCTGCGACGGTTCAACAGGCTCTGGGGGGGGAACACAGGGAGAAATGGCGTGAAGCCATGGACAAAGAACTGAAGGCACTGGAGGAGCGCAACACCTGGAAAATCGTTCCCATCGGCGTAGCACAAAACAAGACTATCCTTACCGGGAAGTGGGTCTTCCGTGTGAAGACGAAAGCTGACGGCACCATCGACAAATTCAAAGCTCGCTGGGTCGTGCGCGGCTTTGACCAGGAGCACGGAAGAGATTACACCGAAACCTTCGCTCCGGTCAGCCGTCACACCTCACTCCGAATCCTCATCGCCGTCGCCGCCATGAAGAAAAAGAAATTGCGACAAATCGACGTCGCAAACGCATTTCTCTACGCACCTGTAGATGCAGAAATCTTCGTCGAGCTCCCGCACGGCTCCCACGGCGAACCCAACCGTGTCTGTCAACTGCTTAAATCGCTCTACGGGATCAAGCAGGCACCGCGACTGTGGCAGCAGTACCTACACGCCCGCCTCATCCGCATCGGTTTCAAACAACTCCCGCATGACCAAGGCATGTATCGCCTCACAAAGGGAAGCGACTACGTTCTCCTAATCGTCTACGTGGACGATCTCCTCTACATTGGGTCAACCGACGGCATCGCCACGTGGTTCGAAGGGGAGCTTCAAAAAGACCTCACGCTCACGGTCTCTTCTACGGTTACGCAGTACCTCGGGCTCAACATCCGCGAGGAAGAAAACGCAATCTATCTAAGCGCCGAGAAGTACGCCGACACCATCGCGAAACGCTTCGGCCTCACACCAAGCGCCATCTCCACGCCTTACCGCTACACGTCAGGAACCGAAAAGGGACGATCTACTCTACTCAAGCCCGCCGGCATACGCGACTATCAGAAGAAGCTCGGATGTCTTCTCTTCGCAGCAGTCACATGCCGTCCCGACTTATCCTACTCCGCGAGCCAGCTCGCCACCTATCTCAAGAAGCCTGAAGCAGAGCATCTGGCGGAACTCGATCGCGCTCTCCACTATTTCGTCAGCACCGCGATGATCGGATTAACCTATCACAAAAACGCAACTACACCGACCAAGCTAATCGGCTACGTCGACGCCGATCACGCCGGCGACACCGATAACAGACGCTCACGCACCGGCTATGTCTACCGCCTCGAACCTATCGGTCCTATCTCCTGGCAGTCGAGTAAGCAGGAGTTAATCGCACTGTCTTCAGCTGAAGCGGAATATATTGCACTCTGCTCAGCCACCAAGGAGGGACTTTACCTTCGCGAACTGCTGGAAGAAGCGAAGCTAGCCGAGTTACCCAGCTTCACCGTGTTCTGCGACAACCAGTCAGCAATCCGCATCGCCAACAAGAACGGCTTCGCAAACAGGACGAAACACATCGCCTTGCGCTATTTCTTCGTGAAGGACGAGATCGAAAAGGGGAAACTCGATCTGTCATACTGTCCAACATCTGAGATGGCAGCCGATTACTTGACCAAGAAACTCGGAAAGCAGAAGTTCGAATACTGCATGATGCTGACTGGACAAGGCCACGTCACCTGCGACGACACTCCAGAAGCGAAGGGGAGTGTTGGAAACAATAAGTCTTAGTGCGCTTCTGTCGTGTCGAAACCCAAGACACTAGCGAAGCAGTCCGAATCGAAGCATCAAGTCAAACCTCGGAGGTTAAGGTAACCGCCTGGAGGTTACGAGAAAGTCAAAGGTCAGCGACCTTTGACTCGACAATTACAGCGCGACAGTTAAGGACACACAACTGACTCGTTACAGAGAAGTTGCCCGAGTCGCACTGTATCGAATCGCAACAGCAATACAGTTATCTATCTATTCGTATTCCCTGTACCCTTATATAAAACCTTGTATTTGCTTGTTTGATTTAATCTACTTTGCTCTCACACACTAGTGCAAGGTCGGTTCACAAGATTCATTAAAATTAAAACGCTTCCGCTATTACAAGTTTCCTACCCAGAGTTATCCTCTGCAAAGATCCTTAAGGGCCTTCTCAGCCCAACACCGTGAACCCTACTTAGGCTACAATTCTAACAAATATGTAAAACAACATTTGACACAACACGTGTATTGTCGAGGCACAGATAAGGTAAAACTCGTTAAGAACGTAACCCTGGCACATCAGGAAAATCCAAGCTGCAAAACAAATGAAGGCATCAGTGTGACTACCGAAAACCACCCTGATAATCAGTGTATCATGGCGATTTACACTGTTAATATTAGGCCTGGACAACACTTGTTCTTTTATAGTACTACTCTCGACTTTCTACCTAGTGCACTTTTCTCTCTCGACACTCTCAAGTCACACAACGAATAGCACCTGCCAAGTACCTTTACAGGTGCAGAACTCTATAACGGCATAAGCCACATCTCTACGGAACGCCGACCATGCATACCCATCATCCAACTCTCGCAGGGACCTCCTGGGTGACATTTCAAGACTGACCACGACAATCTGTCAAGCCTTTCCAACAGCAGCAGTGCACACCAAACCCAAACCTGAACCCAACCCCTTGCATGACGCCACTATTCAACAACGGTCATCAGCTTATCCCGCATCACCGACATGCTCGGGCGGTTATCCCAATCGAAGAAGATGGCGAAGCGAATGAGCGTGAAGACAATGAAGACTTGCTTCTTGGTCCACTCGCCCTTTATCCGCGGGTCCACCACCAGCTCCGGGTCCGGAAAGGTCTTCGCCACCACCAGCTTTCGCAGCTCCTGGAAGCGATCGTCGAGGGCGAGGCAGCCGGATACGAGCTCCAGGAGGAAGACCCCGAAGGCATACGTGTCGGACTTGCGGCTCAGTTGACCTTGGAGGTCGAGGGGTGGGCAAAGAACGGGATGTGAGGGAGTGGGGGGTTGGGAATGGAAGGGAGTGGGACATCGGGATTGCAAGAAATTGGGGTGCTAGGATTGCAAAAGAGTGGGGTATTGGAATATGGAGTGGGGCATTGGAATTGCAAGGGCATTGGGATTGCAATGGAGTGGGGCACTAGAAATGCAAGGGAGGGCGGCATTGGGGTTAAAAGAGAGTCGGGGGGGTTGGGATTGCAAGAGAGTGGGCCTTAAAAAATGCAAGGGAGTGGGGCATTTGGATTGCAGGAGAGTGGGGCAAGGCAAGTAGGGCGAAAGCCTTTTGGAAATAGATGGCCCCATGCTACTGAGGGGCTCGTGTGTGTATGTATGGATGTGCATTGACCACTGACCACATGTATACATGCGTGCATCGCTAGGCACTCACCTGTCTGGAAGTAGATGGGGTCCATGTACCCCATGCTGCCCATCACTCACCTGTCTGGAAGTAGATGGGGTCCATGTACCCCATGCTGCCCATCACTCACCTGTCTGGAAGTAGATGGGGTCCATGTACCCCATGCTGCCCATCACCCGTGTGCTCACGTGCGTTGCCCAGTCCGTCACCGACTTTGCCAACCCGAAATCTGCCAGCACTGGTGTCAGGTCCTGTGCGGTGGTGCGGTGGGAGAGGGGTGGGAGGGATACGGGGTGTTGGATAGGTGTGAGAAAGATGGGAGAGGTTTAAGACATGGTAAAGGTTTGTGAGGCATGGTAACGGGTGTGAGGCATGGTAAAGGCTTTGAGGCATGGTAACGGGTGTGAGGCATGGTTAAGGCTGTGAAGCATGGTAACGGGTGTGAGGCACGCACGGTAAAGGTTGTGAGGCATCAAGAGGGGTGTGTGGTGCAAGGAGGGGTAGGGTTATGAGGCAAAGGGTGGGGGTGTGAGAGGCAATAGGGGTGATTGGTGTGGGAGGCAAGAGGAGTGATTGGTGTGGGAGGGAAGAGGGGTGATTGGTGTGGGAGGCAAGAGGAGTGATTGGTGTGAGAGGCAAGAGGGGTGATTGGTGTGAGAGGCAAGAGGGGTGGGGGGTGTGAGGCACTGGGGGGAGTGTTTGATTTGAGGCAAAGGACGGAAGTGTGCGGCAACGGGGGGTGTGGTGCACTGCAGCGCAGTCCAGTCCAGTGCAGTCAGGACTCAGGTGTGGTGCGATTCAGTGCGGTGCAGCATGGTACCATCCCCACCTCGCGGAGCAGCACGTTGGAGGCCTTGAAGTCGCGGTGCACGAAGTTGGCGTCATGGATGGTGGCCAGCGCCTCCGCACACCCCAGCGCCACCACCAGCCGCGCCCTCCACGGGAAGTGCACCTCTCCCTTCGCCGCTGCCATAAGAAGGTTCCGGGAAAGAGGGGATGTAAGCAGCAGGCGAAGTGGAGAGGAAACGGTTGTGCAAGTGAGGATGGGTGCGCAGGAAGGTTCTGAGAAGTAGTGCGAGGAGGTGGGGTGGGCAGCAGGGCTAGTGTGTACGCGTTCTAAGATTCTGCAGAAGCTTAGGATCAGCCTTGATGCTTCCATAACTGCCCAGGGAGAACTATCCTGTTGGGGGCGTAGCTCGTCCTGCTGGATTGGTCAAACTGGCAGAGAGAAGTGAGTTCCGAAAGAAACTCCCCGTTCTTCCCCACTCACACCTCCGTTCTTCCCCACTCACACCTCCGTTCTTCCCCACTCACACCTCCGTTCTTCCCCACTCACACCTCCGTTCTTCCCCACTCACACCTCTGTTCTTCCCCACTCACACCTCCGTCTCCCTCTCCTCTCCCCCACTCCTCCCACTCTTCCCTCTCCATACCTCTGCTTCTCCTCCCTTTGTAATCCACGCCTCCCGCTCACAACCCTCTTACATGACTTTCTTCTACGCACACCTCATAGCCACTCAGCCCCCACCTCATAGCCACCCAGCCCCATGTGCACACCTCATAGCCACTCAGCCCCATGTGCACACCTCATAGCCACTCAGCCCCATGTGCACACCGCATAGCCACCCAGCCCCATCTGCAAACATCTCACCGTTCTGCTTCTAGTTTACACTAACAGCAAAGCAGCAGTGGCGGCGGCTGCAGCAGCGGCAGCAGCAGCAGCAGAGCGCACATTGTTTGAGCATGTCGGTGCAGTCGCCGCGGGGGATGAACTCGTAGACGAGCACGGGCGAGGGCGAGTCCCCCACGTAGCCCAGCAGCTGCAGGATCTTGGGGTGCTGCATGGCCGTCATCGCTGCCACCTCCACCTGCGCGCGGTGACAGTGGGGAGGGGCACACTGTATGAGTAGCAAGGACTGATCCTTTAGGCGCCTCTGAAAGAGAGCGAGTCTTCCAGTGGGGAGGGAGACGGTAAGAGTCGGGAGGGACATGGTAAGAGTGGGGAGGGGCACGGTGAGAGTGGGGAGGGGCACGGTGAGTGTGGGGAGGGGCACGGTGAGAGTGGGGAGGGGCACGATGAGAGTGGGGAGGGGCACGGTGAGAGTGGGGAGGGACACGGTGAGAGTGGGGAGGGGCACGGTGAGAGTGGGGAGGGGCACGGTGAGAGTGGGGAGGGGCACGGTGAGTGTGGGGAGGGGCACGGTGAGTGTGGGGAGAGGCACCGTGAGTGTGGGGAGGGGACGGGGTATGAGTAACACGAAGCAATCGTGTAGAGATAGAGGGCCATGAGGGGCGGGGAGGAAACAGGGTACAGCTGTGTAAGCTCACTACCATTCCCCCCTGCCCTCACTCTCACTTCTTAACAAGACGAGCTCCAGCCTTGGGAACTCTTAGCTACTACTTTACCATACAGCGATATTCCTACTTGCCTAACACGACTTGTAAGACATGAGCAAGCCTCCCAACCCCCGTTCGCTTCATCACCAACTCGTTTCTGACAATCCGAGCAAGGTTTTGTTTTTGGTCAAATGCTTCCCCGTTCGAGGCGAACGCGTTACGCTTCGGGTAGGAAGGTGTTTCTTTGGGTCCGAACTAAACTCGTTCCAGCTTGGGTTTTGCTCATGTCCACTTGTAAGTACCGCAGCTCCTGAGTAGATGGCTTTTCCTGCCTTACTACAATTCCCTGCCTTCACTCTCCCTTGCCCTCATCTCTCTCCCTTGCCCTCATCTCTCTCCCTTGCCCTCATCACTCTCCCTTGCCCTCATCTCTCTCCCTTGCCCTCATCTCTCTCCCTTGCCCTCATCTCTCTCCCTTGCCCTCATCTCTCTCCCTTGCCCTCATCTCTCTCCCTTGCCCTCATCTCTCTCCCTCATCACTCTCCCTTGCCCTCATCTCTCTCCCTTGCCCTCATCTCTCTCCCTTTCCCTCATCTCTCTCCCTTGCCCTCATCTCTCTCCCTTGCCCTCATCTCTCTCCCTTGCCCTCATCTCTCTCCCTTGCCCTCATCTCTCTCCCTTGCCCTCATCTCTCTCCCTTGCCCTCATCTCTCTCCCTTGCCCTCATCTCTCTCCCTTGCCCTCATCACTCTCCCTTGCCCTCATCTCTCTCCCTTGCCCTCATCACCCTCCCTTGCCCTCATCTCTCTCCCTTGCCCTCATCTCTCTCCCTTGCCCTCATCACTCTCCCTTGCCCTCATCTCTCTCCCTTGCCCTCATCTCTCTCCCTTGCCCTCATCTCTCTCCCTTGCCCTCATCTCTCTCCCTTGCCCTCATCTCTCTCCCTTGCCCTCATCTCTCTCCCTTGCCCTCATCACTCTCCCTTGCCCTCATCTCTCTCCCTTGCCCTCATCTCTCTCCCTTTCCCTCATCTCTCTCCCTTGCCCTCATCTCTCTCCCTTGCCCTCATCTCTCTCCCTTGCCCTCATCTCTCTCCCTTGCCCTCATCTCTCTCCCTTGCCCTCATCTCTCTCCCTTGCCCTCATCTCTCTCCCTTGCCCTCATCTCTCTCCCTTGCCCTCATCACTCTCCCTTGCCCTCATCTCTCTCCCTTGCCCTCATCACCCTCCCTTGCCCTCATCTCTCTCCCTTGCCCTCATCTCTCTCCCTTGCCCTCATCTCTCTCCCTTGCCCTCATCTCTCTCCCTTGCCCTCATCTTTCTCCCTTGCCCTCATCTCTCTCCCTTGCCCTCATCTCTCTCCCTTGCCCTCATCTCTCTCCCTTGCCCTCATCTCTCTCCCTTGCCCTCATCACTCTCCCTTGCCCTCATCTCTCTCCCTTGCCCTCATCTCTCTCCCTTTCCCTCATCTCTCTCCCTTGCCCTCATCTCTCTCCCTTGCCCTCATCTCTCTCCCTTGCCCTCATCTCTCTCCCTTGCCCTCATCTCTCTCCCTTGCCCTCATCTCTCTCCCTTGCCCTCATCTCTCTCCCTTGCCCTCATCTCTCTCCCTTGCCCTCATCTCTCTCCCTTGCCCTCATCTCTCTCCCTTGCCCTCATCTCTCTCCCTTGCCCTCATCTCTCTCCCTTGCCCTCATCACTCTCCCTTGCCCTCATCTCTCTCCCTTGCCCTCATCACCCTCCCTTGCCCTCATCTCTCTCCCTTGCCCTCATCTCTCTCCCTTGCCCTCATCTCTCTCCCTTGCCCTCATCTCTCTCCCTTGCCCTCATCTTTCTCCCTTGCCCTCATCTCTCTCCCTTGCCCTCATCTCTCTCCCTTGCCCTCATCTCTCTCCCTTGCCCTCATCTCTCTCCCTTGCCCTCATCTCTCTCCCTTGCCCTCATCTCTCTCCCTTGCCCTCATCTTCTCCCTTGCCCTCATCTCTCTCCCTTGCCCTCATCTCTCTCCCTTGCCCTCATCTCTCTCCCTTGCCCTCATCTCTCTCCCTTGCCCTCATCTCTCTCCCTTGCCCTCATCTCTCTCCCTTGCCCTCATCTCTCTCCCTTGCCCTCATCTTTCTCCCTTGCCCTCATCTCTCTCCCTTGCCCTCATCTCTCTCCCTTTCCCTCATCTCTCTCCCTTGCCCTCATCTCTCTCCCTTGCCCTCATCTCTCTCCCTTGCCCTCATCTCTCTCCCTTGCCCTCATCTCTCTCCCTTGCCCTCATCTCTCTCCCTTGCCCTCATCTCTCTCCCTTGCCCTCATCTCTCTCCCTTGCCCTCATCTCTCTCCCTTGCCCTCATCTCTCTCCCTTGCCCTCATCTCTCTCCCTTGCCCTCATCTCTCTCCCTTGCCCTCATCACTCTCCCTTGCCCTCATCTCTCTCCCTTGCCCTCATCACCCTCCCTTGCCCTCATCTCTCTCCCTTGCCCTCATCTCTCTCCCTTGCCCTCATCTCTCTCCCTTGCCCTCATCTCTCTCCCTTGCCCTCATCTTTCTCCCTTGCCCTCATCTCTCTCCCTTGCCCTCATCTCTCTCCCTTGCCCTCATCTCTCTCCCTTGCCCTCATCTCTCTCCCTTGCCCTCATCTCTCTCCCTTGCCCTCATCTCTCTCCCTTGCCCTCATCTTTCTCCCTTGCCCTCATCTCTCTCCCTTGCCCTCATCTCTCTCCCTTGCCCTCATCTCTCTCCCTTGCCCTCATCTCTCTCCCTTGCCCTCATCTCTCTCCCTTGCCCTCATCTCACTCCCTTGCCCTCATCTCTCTCCCTTGCCCTCATCTTTCTCCCTTGCCCTCATCTCTCTCCCTTGCCCTCATCTCTCTCCCTTGCCCTCATCTCTCTCCCTTGCCCTCATCTCTCTCCCTTGCCCTCATCTCTCTCCCTTGCCCTCATCTCTCTCCCCTGTCCTCTCTCTCCCCTGCAAGCTCCTCGACTCACCTGGAGACTCGACATGCCTCCAGTGATGTGCTCCGCCGCCATCACCTTCACCGCCATCACCTGCACCTCTCGCACCTGCACCTCTCGCACCTGCACCTCTCGCACCTGCACCTCTCGCCCCTGCACCTCTCGCCACCTGCACCTCTCGCCACCTGCACCTCTCACCCCTGCACTTAAATGGCTGCAAGCTGATGAAGCCCGCACCGTACGTCTCACATACTGCGTACACGTCTCATATGAATGTCGCAGCATCCACCGGTCGCCCACCTGGAAGCCCACCTGGAAGCTCGCCTGGCCCACCTGAAAGCTGGACATGCCGCCGGTGATGTGCTCCGCCGCCATCACCTTCACCGCCACCTCCACCTCGCGCCCGCCCGGCCCCGCAGGGTGCGTGAGGCGCCCGTGGTACACGCGCCCGAAGCCGCCCTCCCCCACCACGCGCGCGAAGTTGCTCGTCGCCGCCACCAGCTCCGCTGTCGTGAACTCGCGCAGGGGGGAGGGTGCGTCAGCTGCAGGGGGGACGGGGGGGAGGAGCGGGGAGGTGGGAGGGCAGAGGAAATGGGAGGCCAGGCGCCCAAACCGGCCTTCCCCCAGCACACGTGAGAAGGCCTTCACCAGGCAGCCTGAGCCGCCGCTGCTGTACTCGTGGAGAGAGGCGGGTGAGCCTGGGGGGGTGGCAGAGGGGGGAGCGGGGGGTGGGTGCGCAGGTGTGGCGTGGTGAGCTCAGGTAAAAGCGCACACTGCAACGGACTTGTGGCTGGTCTTGGGAGGCGGGGAACAGGGGAGGTGGGGGAGGGGCCGAGGGGAGGGGAGAGTGAAGAGCCCCCCCGCAGTGAAAAGCCCCCCGCGATGAGGAGTTCCGAGGAAAACGAAGGTAGGCAGTGGGAGAAGTCGGGCGAGAGCTCGCACAATGGGGCCCGCGCAATGGGGCTCGCGCAATGGGGCCCGCGCAATGGGGCTCGCGCAATGGGGCCCGCGCAATGGGGCTCGCGCAATGGGGCTCACGCAATGGGGGCTGTTGAGCCGCGGGCTGTTGGGCCGCGGGCAGTTGGGGTGGCGGTTGGGCGGTGGGGCGGACGGGGGGATCGGCGGCGGGGGTCTCACAGCAGTTGCCCATGCCGCCACGCGCCCCTTTTAACGCGCCCCTTGTAACGCACCCCTTGTAACCCGCCCCTTGTAACCCGCCCTTGTAACCCGCCCCTTGTAACGCGCTCCTTGCAACGCGCCCCTTGTGACGCGCCGCTTAGATCGCGCAGATTGTAACGCGCAGCTTGTAACGCGCGCAGCCCTACGCGTTCGTTGAAGACTCTCCGAGATATCGTCTAGGGTCGGACGGCTGGGTTGGTCCGTACTAGTAGTAATGCCATCGCCAACACATGGGGACTCGGAGTTACGACAAAGCTAGGTTTCAGATGCTTTCAGCGTGAGCGCCTCGCCAAGCTTGCCGATAACCTTCCGTGCCGAATGGAGTGGACAATGCGTGGCGGCGTCTGGTTGGTTTGCGTTTCGTCGCTACGGAAATGCTCCTGGTCGCGTAGTTATATCAGCTGTTAGGACGTGAACACTCGGTAGGGTTGGTGGAGGGTTGGGCGTGCAGACTGAAGATATGAGATCACCTTGATGTGTTAAAGCCCGCGTCCCAAATTGCGGGCCGCGAGGGTCAAGTTTTTAAAACTTGACGAAGTTGAGTGTCAAAGCTTTTGAAAGTCACGCACTTCCAATTTGGGACTTTCGAGGACAGATTCACTCACCAGGGGGAAAACCGAGGGTTGGCTGGGTCTCGCGAAAACAACGAACCTAGACGAAATCGGAAACTCTCGCCAAAGCCCACATAAGAAAAACTCCCTCTGGTCAACTTTTAAAAGTATGAACAATTTGGGCCGCCGGCTTTAATAAACACCCGGATACCACAAACAAGACATTCGCGCTACAACACTCGATTTCGCCGATGTCTTGCTGTCAATGAGCGACACAACGATGGGTCGTGCTTGTCATTGAGCATCACGATCGTCGCATCGGCGAACATCTCGGCAAGTTGGATTCTCCATAGTCAGAGACCCAAAGACCACTATAGTAGCCCCATCTAAGGTATTATTGTAAAGACATATTATTTATCCTTATTGAGGTTTAATCCTTTATGTACAACCCAAACACCTGGAAGTACATGTAGGTCGATTTCATTGACACCGAGGCTGCCTCGTTTCGCCCTCAGCTTTTCCCTAGCTGACGTGCAACCAACATCCAGTTTCCTATAGTCCCGTCTGTTGGGAACAAATAGTCTTAAGCGCCTCTGTCGTGTCGAAACTCAAGACACAAGCGAAGCAGCTCAAATCGAAGCACCGCGAGTCAACCCTCGGAGGTTAACGTAACCGCTGGAGGTTACGAGAAAGTCAAAGGTCAGCGACCTTTGACCTAACGCAGCGCGACAGCAAGGACACACAACTGACTCGACATTGAGCAATTGCCCGAGTCGCACTGTATCGAACCGCAACAGTAAAACAGTTACAATTACATCTCTTCATATTCTCTGTACTCATATATATATTCCTGTATCCTTTTGCTTTAATCAACTTACTTTGCTCTCACATACTAGCGCAAGGTGGTTCGAGGACTTTATTCAAACGCTTCTGCTATTACATCATTTTACTCAGACTTTAACTCTACAAAGATCCTAGGGCGTCTCAGCCCAACATGGTATGAGCGCTGGTTAGAGTTAAAATTTTTTTTTTTCAACACTGAATACATCAAGAAGACATGTCTGCTAGAAAGGAGAGGAGCTCCTCCAACGGCTCTCCCGGCACTACCCCTACTCCACCTCCTGCCTCTGGCCTACGGACAGAGGAAGGAACAACAACGAGACCAGCAGCTGGGTCTATTGAAACACCCGCGAACCAAGGGCTTCGATCCAAGCATGATGGAGAAATTCTTCTCCTTCATGTCCTTCTACGAGCAGCATCAGCAAGGAGTACCTGCGCAATCAAACAACAGCAACAACAATAACAACGTGACGCCCATGCGTCTCGATGGCTCATCCTACGCACGCGGGAATCAACATCAACAACCTACCTTCGCTCCGTACGAGCCCCAGCGCGGCTCCGTCAGCTTCATGCCACAACCACAACCTGCACCGGGACAAGAAAGAGCACTGGACGCACTACAAGTTCAGTCGCAATTCGCGCATGTTCTAAAACTACAAACGACAAAACCTTTCGACGGGAAGGATTTCTTTACCTGGTCGTTCGAATTCGAGCTGATGATGGAAGGAGCGCAGATTCTTGGCTTCTTCGACGGGTCCCTGCCATATCCAACAAACGGCACGCAGTATGAGAAGCAGCAGTACACCTATCAATCGATGATGGCGTACACAATACTACTTAGGAACATCACCCCGACTCAACAGCAGAACATAAGGACTTACCGAGGTTACGGTAACTCCGCGGAGCTCGCGTACAACCACTTGAAGAACCTGTATCAAGCAACAGACAGTGTAAACCAAAGCCGGTTAATGGCGCAGCTGACAACGATCGAAATGAAACCAGGCGAAAAGGGAATGGCGTATATCAGTCGCTGCCGCGAGCTGCGCGACAAGCTCCTTCGATGTGGAGGATCGATTTCAGAAGACGCCTTCGTCACGGTTGTCATCGGCGGTCTTGGCCCTCACTGGCGCTCCACTCGCGCCATAGTACGAGCACACGGGAGAATCTCGGAAGCAGCACTCTGCGCCAAAATCCATGCCGAGCAGCAGGACATGGACCTGCAAGAAGAACGACACAAGAAGAAAACGTCAGTACCAGAGTTCGCATTTCACACTCAGCGACGCTACAACAACAACAACAACCGGCAACAGCAACAAGTGAAGCCAGTACCTCCGTTCTGCCACATCTGCAAGACTTCAGGGCATCCTCGTACGCACTGCCCGTATCGTCAGTAATTGACAGCACCACAGCGACAACTTCGGCCTACAAGTGTCAAATTATAATATTCTGTAGGCTATAGTGGGGTAGCCCATATGGGGTACACATTTCTAGGGTTGCATACTTGTATCACTCTCATTCCATAGTTCATTCATTCTCGTTCTACTTTCCTCATGGTATCGAGCAGGTTCCCCCGTGGGAACTGTGCCTAGGGCCCACCACATCGAGTTTTTTTTTCCTGCCCGAAGCGCGCTCGGCCTGAGTCGCGCTCCGGGCTCTCTCACTTTGTCGAGCCGCCCTAGAGGCCCCGCCGCCCGTCGATTAGGCCCCGCCGCCCTAACGGCCCCGCCGCCCGTCGATTCGGCCCCGCCGCCAGTCGATTCGGCCCCGCCGCCCTTCTCAGCGGCCCCTCCGCCTCTTCTCAGCGGCCCCGCCGCCTCACACTGAGGCCCCGCCGCCCCTCGTCGCGGCCCCGCCGCCTCTCTCGACGCGGCCCCGCCGCCCTTCGTCGCGGCCCTGCCGCCCTTCGTCGCGGCCCCGCCACCCTTCTCAGTGGCCCCGCCGCCCTTCGTCGCGGCCCCGCCACCCTTGGTCGCGGCCCCGCCGCCCTTGGTCGCGGCCCCGCCGCCCTTCGTCGCGGCCCCGCCGCCTCTCTCGTTGCGACCCCCGACCAGCCCGAGCCGCCCGAGCCGCCTGAGCCGCACGAGCCGCCCGAGCCGCCCGAGCTTCCCGAGCCGCCTGAGCCGCTAAGGAGCCGAGCCGCCCGAGCCGCCTGTGCCGATATGACCCGAGCCGCCCGGGCCGCCCGAGCCGCCCGAGCCACCCGAGCCGCCCGAGCCGCCTGAGGAGCTGAGCCGCTGGTACCGCGGAGCTGCAGTTGCTGCTGAGCCGTCCGAGCAGCAGTGTTGCCATGTTACTGTGCTGCTGAGCTGCCCGGACCGCCCTGTCTGGTGAGAGCAGCACTTCTGTCACTGCACTGCCCCTGTCCTACAGCTAGTACTGCTAGTCTACTGCTGTCATGGCTACCCCTAATGTCCTAGCTTTTGACGCTGAGGGTCGCGCCATTGACTTTGAGGTCTCGGTCGACGACCTGCAGCTGTTCTTATAGTGCGATAGGGCAGACGGTCTTTCTCTCTTTGACCTCACCTCTGGCGCCTCTCCTGCCCCTGCTGCTGATGCTGACCCCACTGTTCGCTCCCAGTGGGCCACGCGCGATGCTGCTGCACGTCTTGCTGTGCGTCGCCACCTGCCTACCGCTGAGCGCGCGCACTTTAGTCAGTACAAGAGTGCTCAGACCTTGTACGACGCTGTCGTTGCGCGCTACTCTTCCCCTGCCACTGCTGCACTGAGCCGCCTCATGCTACCCTTCCTCTTCCCTGACCTTGCAGCCTTTCCCACAGTCGCTGACCTCATTACGCACATCCGCACTAGTGACACTCGCTACCGCGCCGCGCTTCCTGCTGAGTTCTGCGCCAAGAACCCCCCCCCCCCCCCCCCCCCCCCCCCCCCCCATGTACATCACTCTCTATTTTATAGTCACCCGCTTCCCTCACTCCCTTCGTGTAGTCAGGGACCACTTCCTCTCAGTCTGTCCC